TTTTTGTGGCAGTTAAAAATATGATTTTAGTTTTTTTTATCATGTTTTCGGATAGAATATGCAATTTAAAAACTTTTTTAACCTTGACATTTTTTCGATAAACCCACTCGTTTAGGAGTACAGCCTATGGAAAAATTACTTCCGTTGTACATTTTACATCATGTAGCTCCTAAACGAGTAAGTTTAGAGCAAAATTGCAAAAAGTAAATTACTCTTAGAATTGCATCTACATTCCTTAAAGACTATAAAATAAGTTTTCCACTTTTCAAGTTTGCCGCCATTTTTTAAATAATATAATTCATATTTTTAATGAATTTTATGGGGAATGTGGATGCAATTGTAAGACTTTTTTACTCTTCGCATTTTTGCTATAAACTTACTTGTTTAGGAGCTACATGATGTAAAATGTACACCGGAAGTCATTTTTCCATAGGCTGTAACTCCTGAACGAGTGGGTTTATCGAAAAAATGTCAAGGCTAAAAAAGTTTTTAAATTGCCTATTCTATCCGAAAACATGATCAAATATAGGGTGTTCCATAAGAAATTTCAAATTTGGCCGCCATTTCGGAAAAAACTTAAATCATATTTTTAACTGCCACAAAAAATAAAGGAATGTCCTCCATTTTAAGTTTTCTCTAATTCTTACCGTTTCTGATATCCCAATGGTGGCCTCCTTGAGTTTATCACCCTGTATAGCCTATATTTATTTATTTATATGTTTTTCCCGGGGAAAACCCCAGGACCCCCTCCTTTTTTGGGGGTATTCCATACCCCCCAGGCCCCCGGTGACCCCCCAAAATATATGTCTAGGACCGCCCTTGTCTTCTTTGCCTATAAAACACATGGGATACAGCCTTTTTTCACTGATCACGTAATGCGTGATTTTCTATAAAGTCTTGGAAAAATAAAAGGTAAAATAGATTGAATACAGGTGTACTGGGTATGTGGTTTACACACAAATATTCATCAAACTGTGTGATATTTTGTTATTATTGCAATGAACAATTTGAGAGTATCGTATTGTTTAAGTCGATGGAGAATCTAAGTTGATCCTGTTTTACAAGCAAACCAAAAAGATACAGTAGTCACCACTCTAAAAAATGGTAGGATTGCAAAGTACTACACAAACATTATTTCAAGGGTAATAACAGTCACAATTTCCGCTGACTTTATAAGAGTCAACTAAAATATTATACTAAACTAATGGACACACAACTAAATGGAACAACTAATGGAAATTCTCACGATGTACATTCGTTCGATATAAGCATTGAGTATACACGTCAGTACATACGTGTATACCCAATGATATAAGCTACGGTTCTTGCAATTTATTGCTTATTGTTTTTTAGAGTTGTTTTCGGACTTACTCTGTTTTCGGACTTACTCACACTCGTATAAGGTTTTCCACGTTTGTCATTGATAATGTAGCCATGTTGCTTTGAAATGGCGACCATACAAATGTATGCATTTTAAGCCAAGTATGAATGGAGATGAGTGTGGGATGAGTGGAGCGATCTTGTTGTCCTGTTTGTGACTAAGGCCGACATAATCCTTAGACACAGCTGTTAATTAATAGTGCATACAGTCAATTAATAGCAGCAGAGGTCAAGTTTGGTATAAAATTAAAGGTTTTATTCATAAAAATACATTGCCGCAAACCCAAACTCAAACGATGATGATGATAATAACGTTAATGATGTCGCTAAAACGTATCGTTTGAAATTTAACAGCTAAAAATAAGTGAAATAGAAAAGGTTTTGGTTAAATCCATCAAATTGTAATTGGACACTTGTAAATACTAGTGCACTTGTTGCTACCTCCCCCCTTCGGTTTCATGTATTCCTCTCAATCAGTTCAAACCTAGGAGGATTAAACATTAATGTTACCTAATTAATGTTAAATCCTCCTAGATTCAAACCTGAAACACCCAGATCGAAACTCGCCTGTCGTTATTTTACCATCGCCTTTTTTCAAAAAAAGAAAGATTATATTGATTTACTTTGGATTTTAAAAATTTTAACGTTTTATTTTGTTAAAGATTTATGGTGATACGTAAATATTGTGGTGTAGTAAAGTATATTATATTTTCATCTTGTGTATTATATTGTATTTAAGTGTTAAATTTTGAAATTTTAGGGTGAATCGAGATGAATCTTTTTTTATAACATGGGTCTCTCCTACCTTAACATACATACCAAGTTTCATAAACCACGGTTGGAAAAGTGCAAAGATAAATATTTGTATGTAAAAAATACAAAATGGTGGATATCTGGTTAACGAAACGATTTCGGAAAAAATGTTATCCTTGATTTTCTGTTTATTTTGACCCGGAATTACTAGGTAAAGCATCTCCCCGCTTATTTTTAACACCCTGTTTATGATGTATTCTTATGAGTGAAAAATGTAAGCTGGTAATACAGAAAGATGTTTTATAAATAATATGAATGTACTGGTGATCTGTATATTCATCCTTTTCTTGTTCTTAGAACTGTAAATTAAAAGTCCACTCAACAGTCGCATCGTACGTTGCAGTTCTTTCCATGCGTTGCGAAATGCTAAATTTGCCGTCCTCTTCAACCCAAGTTATCTATTGAACCACTGATTGTAAAAAATTCAAAAAAATATATTTTACGCATCACACTTTTGGCCACAACTTTGCCACAGACAAAACCTGTCTAACCCAAAAACAAAAAAAATCTCGCATGCTAACTTTTTCATGTTAGAAATCACGATTTAAAACTATTTCACCATACATATAAATTTTTATTAATTAGATCGGTAAATAGTTTAAAGTTCCAACAAAAGAGACATCGAGTAGGACTAACCAAGAAGCTCTGTGCCAATTTTCAAAATTTTAGCACAACTTTAAGTACACCAAAACACGAAGTTATTGAAGTCATGCGTCGAGAGGACTATCGTTGTTTTTAACAGACTATACTTTTGACCTTCTGGCACTGTTGACTCAGCGAAACTGAACTTATATTTTATCTTATTTCGTTATATTAAAACTGCTGTTGCATTAGGTCAAATTCCCAATAAGTCAATTGCTTTAACATAGACCACGTTTTTAGCTCGGACTGTACTATTTGACTTACTGGGATTTTTGATCTACAGACACTGCAAACATTGTAGTTTTTGACCTAGCGGCACAGGTATAAATTATTTGACCTTCCGGGACTGTTGACTTTCTGCAACGCGTCCTACCATTCTACACTCATCCTTCACTCATATTTGGGTTAAAATACGCACCTAGGTGGCGTCCCCATCTCAACGATTGATTATTGATTATAATTGATTACAAAAGCATTAAAAAGTTATAAGATTTACCAACAGGGTGCAGCACTATATTTTTTTTGCATTTATGTAAACAGCTAATTTGAACTAAGCAGCAACAAACAACTGTGATATGCAATGAGAACTGTCAAAGTAGGATTGTTTACAGTTATGTTTATGTTTTTAATGTCATGAATAATTTGTGATTTTTTAAATTTGTAAGTACTGTAATACTTTATTTTTCTTTATTGTTTAGGTGAAGAGGTTGAACATTATGGCTATGGTAGATGTGTAGTACCATAGTATACCGTCAATTTAAAGAAGCAAATTTTATCAAACTTTGTCCTCTCCCATTGCAAACGCAAAACTTGAGTATAACTGCAATAAGCAATTTAAACTTATATGCCAACCCCGTATGAAGGACGGGTATTCTGCTAGTATTCCACTAAATATCTAAGGTAATAAGGAATAGAAAGCCAAATAAGTAAAACAGCTTACAAAAACTAATTGCATTTAAACTTGTACCGGTAACCTAAAAACCTATTGTACTTCAATAATATTAATCAACCAGAAATGCAGGGTGCACCGTTAACTAAACTGGATGTGAAATCAATTTAATAAAGTATACAGTTAGTATCTTACTTAAATACACGCACGAACAGTACACTCCTACATCACTATTCATGAATTGCTAAACAACAACACCAAACCAAAATAACATTTTGAGGTTAGCTCAGTTGTTTTCTAGTTTTAGAAATTAGATGGTTTGAGTTATGACAGACAGGTGCGCCTACATCAGTTCTACCGTTCTACCCATCATATCAGTAGCTTGTCACAGCTTTGGACTCTGCCCCAAAGCTCCTATACTAAAGCATTGGAATGACGTCATGGCAACCTCAGCGCTGTTCGGTTGTTCTTCCATAAGACTACATGTGTTGGGATTGGGACCATCTGGCCGCCGTCCACGCTGTCCTTACTAAGCAAGCTACGATCGAAAATAAGTCTTTACTGAATTAAATTATCCGATTATTTGATATATTTGTTTTTTATATTGTTTTAAGTACTCGTTAAAGTAATTTTAATTAAATTTAACTGAATAATATTGAAATGTAATTTATTTATTTATTGGCGGGAGGGCGGAGTCCGAGAGTCCTTATGGGCTAGCCGCCACTGGGTAAGAGGTTTGTATCACCTAGCTTCTGTGGCATCTTCAGTTGTCTTCTTAAGTTATCTTCTTATCGCTAACACTATAGTCTATAGCTTACTGGATTTACAAAAATATTTACACAAGCGCAGTCACTAGTATGATGGTTGGATCGATCGGACAACGCGATGAAGGACTTTCGGTGGAGTCACGACAGGAGATCTTTCTTCCTTCGTTTCATTTCTTGAAATGGGAGTTATGGTATTTGTACCGTTCGACAGTTGATGTTAGTTTGGACTTTCCTGTTTATGGTCGGACGGGTGCTTCAAACTCTGTTAAGTTGGTAATAAATATTTTAAAATAAAGAATATATAATAAATATTTTATGTAAATACAGTATAGACTTTAGTGTTATTGATGAGAAGATAACTTAAGAAGACCCCTGACACAAGCTGGCAAAATACATAGGGTGACTCAAACATTTCACCTACTCAAGGACTACAAGCAACAACAAAAAAGATAGGCCTAATCACAAATAAATAAACAAAATTGTATGCTACAACTGTTTACTGCTGTTAGTTCTAGACCACCACACAAGTACTCTGTGGTTATCGTGGGGGCAGGCATGGCTGGTCTTGGAGCTGCCACAACTTTGGCATCAGCAGGCGTTGGCAGCTTTGTTATTCTTGAAGGTACCAGACACAAAGCTATACTCATTTGATCTATTACTTAAAAACCCCCCGCCGCAGCAAACCTGCAGACTAAGCGAATTTCCTATTGCCTGATTTGATTTTCACGTAAATATATTTAAATCACATTAGGTTTAATGAGTACCTAGGTTTGCTGCTACAGGGAGGGTAAAAAGTGTGTTTTTATTAAAATATAATAGCTTAGTGTAAAATAAATAAATATGCCAAGTTTGATCAAAATATATCCATAAAAGAGCAAACTACAACAGTTTACTTATTCTCCGTTCTCCGTAAGAATAGCATGTTGCATATAATAACTATTGGACTATGTTTATTATATTTAGTACTCTTTGACTTCCTTATGAGAATTCAAATGTTTTTGTTTTACATATGGTTTTCTGTTCTTCATTAATTATTCAGTAAATAAGTTTGACCAATTTAGTACATCATAAAAGTTTCTTCCAGTAAAGTATTCTTTTCATTTCATTCTATTTAACTTGTAACAATAGTATTTTATAACAGGTTATGGGCCCAGACACCCTTATATTGTGTGTTACAGGTTTTAAATAGAATAATTTATTGCTTGAGATAAAATCTTTAGTATGGAATTTGTTATGCAAAAAATGGAATTGCTGCATGGAAAGGACAACTGGGATGATTTGAAATATCTCATGCAAATTAGGCTTAAAGGAATCCCAGATGCATACGAAGCCATTTCTGGTAAAATGGAATTGCCAGAGAAACCTAAAGATGAAACACAAGCTGCAGAAATGAAAGAATATAAAATGAAGATGGATAAGTATAACAAAACACAGTCAGAGGTAATGTTTATGTTAGCATCTTCATTAAGTAAGGAAGTAAGAGCTCAGGTAAGAAACCTAGAAAAACCAGATGAGGTTTGGAAGGAGCTGCATAATCTATTCGCGGAAATAGAGGAAAATAAAGCCTATGATATATGCTCTCTGTTCTTCACCTACAAATGGGATCAACACTTGGATATGGCTGGGAACCTATCTGCAATCAAGTCTTTATGGGTAAAGCTTCAAGAAGAAATTAAGAAAATTCAAGACAAGAAAGAAGATAGTTTACCTCAGATATTGTTGATTTGCAAGATTTTTGAAATCCTACCAGCAGAATATTCCAACTTTCAGACAACTTGGTTAATGGTTCACAAGGATAAAGCGAGAAACCTTGACAATCTTACAAATTGGCTGTGTACAGAAGCAAGAAAGCTGACTTCAAAGGAAAATGAGAAAGAAGATACAGCTTTAATGGCGGTCAATAGATCTAAAGAAGCCAAAGGTAATTTAGTAGGTGTACAGAAAAACAGCAAAAACAATGATAAAAAGAAAAAGTTTCCATGCCACTATTGTCACAAGAAAGGGCATTGGTTGCAAGAGTGTCAGAAATGGATAGCGGATGGAAAACCTGAAAGAAAACATGAAAAGACAAGCTTGGAAAAAGAATCCAAACAAGCAGCACTAACCATATTAAGTAATTGTGTTTTCAAACCCAGAATACTACCGCATCACATGATTGGTACGTGGACAGTGGTGCTACCAACCATGTTACACATTGTAGGGAAATGTTTACTGACTTTGAACAATTTGTGTTACCTCATGCAGTTACAATGGCAAATGGACAACAGACAAGTGCTATTGGTAGAGGAACAATTTGCATGGAAGCAAATTTGGATGGTATTTGGAATTCAGTAAAACTAACCAATGTATGGTATGTACCTGGTATCTTCGCAAACCTATTTTCAGTAACCGCTGCTCAAGATTTAAATGTAAATAGTAAATTTGTATCGACATCCAAGGATTGCACTTTGTTTGATAGAAATGGTAAACCACTCATCAAAGGACATCGAAGTCAAGGCGGAGGCTTGTTTAAATTAGCAGTAAGAAAATCAGTAGACCTCATGGCTGTTATGGAAGGAGTTCCAGCTGTTGATCAGTTGCAGTTACTTCATGAACGACTAGGACATCAAAGCAAAACTCATGTACAAGAGTTTGCAAGAAGAGAACTGAACCTTAATCTCAAGCTTGACAATGAGGTATGTGAAGGATGTGCTTATGGGAAAATGCACAGGACACAATTCAGAAGCAGAGATGAACACAGAGCTTCAGTACCTGGTGAAATCGTTCACTCTGATGTTTGTGGACCTTTCTTTGAGTCGATTGGAGGTTCAAAGTACTTTGTATTGTTCAAGGATGACTTTACTCGCTACCGCAGTGTTTATTTTATGAAGACAAAATCTCAAGTTGTAGAGAAGCTGAAGCAGTTTCTTGCAGAAGTCAAAGTCACAGGCCATGTAATATGTAAGTTGAGATGTGATGGAGGAGGTGAATTCGACAATGAAAGTATTAGACGAGTCCTTCAAGTGAATGGAATACAACAGTTGATCACAATGCCATACACACCACAACAGAATGGATCTGCAGAGAGAGAAAATCGGACCATAGTTGAATGTGCAAGGTCAATGATGCATGCTCACGGTGATCTGCCTCAAGGCTTGTGGGCTGAATTGATAAACACTGCAGCCTATATTTTGAACAGAACTGCTAAGTCATCAGTTGCCAGAAAGACTCCATATGAATCATGGTTTGGAAAAAGACCTACGATAAAACATTTACGGGTTATCGGGACAGATTGTTTTGTCCATATTCCAAAGCAGAGAAGACGTAAGTTTGACAAGAAAGCGATGAAATGCAAACTTATTGGATATGATGGTAATGATGGATATCGTCTCTGGAATTCATGGAAATGTACTGTCATTCGGTCCAGGGATGTAAAATTTTTGAAAGAGCCTATTAGTGAATCCATAGTAAATAGGCCTATATCTTCAGAAGAAAAAGTCCCCGATGAAGCAAAAGATGAGAACTGTTCAGCCCCTGTAGTAGAAAATGTCCCCATTCTCTTTCCTGAAGATGAATCGGAAGAAGATAAATTGACAGACGAGGAAGCAGAACAACATGAAGAAAACGTTGTGCAAACTCGCCAACTCCGAGATAGAGCTATGGTAAGGCAGCCCATTCGTTTTGAAGATTTTGTGATGAGTGCTGTTATGGGGAACACACACTATGAACCTAATACATACATGGAGGCATCGAACTGTGAAGATCATCTCCAATGGCAAAAAGCAATGGAAGACGAGATTAACTCACTTCACATGAATGAAGTGTGGACACTTACTGAACTACCCAAAGGTCACAAAGCCATACCTTGTAAATGGGTATACAAAGTAAAAACAAATGCGGATGGATCCATAGAGAGATACAAAGCCCGTCTAGTAGTGAAAGGATTTGCACAGAAGAAAGGAATTGATTATAATCAAACCTTCAGTCCAGTAGCAAAAATGCCAACAATCAGAAGTGTTATCGCAGTAGCTGCTAATGAAGGAATGAAACTCACACAATTTGATGTGTCTACTGCCTTTTTGTACGGCAAAATAAATGAAGAAATTTATATGCATCAACCAGAAGGATTCAGTGATAACAGTAATCACGTCTGCAAGCTTAATAGAAGTTTGTATGGTTTGAAACAAGCACCAAGATGCTGGAACGAGAGAGTTGGAATGGTCCTAACAAAACTGGGACTGAAAAAGAGTGATGATGATCCATGTCTTTTTATCCGTAACAACAATGGACATAAGTTAATCGTTGTTCTATATGTTGATGATGGACTCATTGCTTCAACTCATGATGAAGACTTAAATTCATTCCTAGTAGAATTGAAAAAAAGAATTTAAAATCAAGTCAAAACCAGCAGATTATTTTTTAGGATTGGAGATTTCCAAATCTGGTGAAAATATCAAATTAAGTCAAGGAGGATATGTTTCAAGAATTTTGGAAAGATTCAACATGGAAAACTGCAGATCAGCACCAACACCTATAGTAAAATCTGAACAGGAAGACAAAAGAACAGATGAGACGTCTTTCCCGTATCGAGAAGCTGTTGGAGCTCTTATGTACCTCATGGTTAGTACCAGACCGGACATAGCGTACGCAGTGAGTGTCGTCTCCAGAAGCCTAGAAAATCCTACAATAAATGATTGGTGTCGAGTGAAGAGAATACTCAGATATCTTCAGGGTACTAAAGATTGTGGAATCGTGTACAAGAAGCACAATGGAAGTGGCGTTCTTAATTGCTACAGTGATCCAGACTTTGGTGGTGACCATGAAACCAGGAGATCGACAACAGGACTACTGACTATGTACGCAGGTGGAGCGATATCATGGATCAGCCAACGACAGGCTTCTGTTCAACTTTCCACTACGGGAGCAGAGATAGTAGCTGCGAGTGAGGCGGCCAGGGATGCAATTTGGTTAAAGCGATTACTAAGCTCATTAACTGAACTTAAAAGTACACCTGTGATCTTCGTAGACAATGAAGCTGCTATATGTCTAGCACAGAATCCAGAGCATCACAGAAGAACCAAACACATTGAAATAAAACACTTTTTCATTCGAGAACAAGTGACAGCAGGAAACCTGGAAGTGAAGAAAATTGACACAAGTGAACAACTAGCTGATTTGATTACAAAACCTCTTCTTGGACCAAGGTTGAAGGTTTTAAGACAGAAAATTGGACTGGCTTAACGTTCCCATGAAGTCTCTAAGGAAGCCTTGAGTAGGGGGAGTGTTGCATATAATAACTATTGGACTATGTTTATTATATTTAGTACTCTTTGACTTCCTTATGAGAATTCAAATGTTTTTGTTTTACATATGGTTTTCTGTTCTTCATTAATTATTCAGTAAATAAGTTTGACCAATTTAGTACATCATAAAAGTTTCTTCCAGTAAAGTATTCTTTTCATTTCATTCTATTTAACTTGTAACAATAGTATTTTATAACATAACATAGGAATTTTAAATTTACAGTTTTATTTTTATTTTCTTCGTAACCAACAATTTTACAAAAACACTTCAATATACTAAATTATTAATTTTTTTAAGCTCTACTAAATGGCTTGGAAAGAAATTGAGAAATTTTATGTTTTTATGGTCAAAGATGGGAAAAACCCATTCTTACCCCATAAAACCCTCCATTAAACCCTGTTACCATAGTCCGAACTTGCTGGTTCGCAAACTCATTCAAGTTTACCCTGCCATACACCTTAAGCCAAATTTCATCAAAATCAGACAAAAATTACTGAGTTATCACGTTCACGGACACTTATATACCTCTATATATTAGAATTTTAAACAAAAAGTGTTTTTGGCCTCTAGGGACATCAAAATGGAAAAGTAAATCGGTCCCGGGCCTAGGTCTTACTGTGCCACCTACAGTAATAGCTACTTCCCTAAAGGGAAGTTTGCCAAAAATAATTAAACTGTTTTAAGGGTCAAAATAATTTGGTAACGAGCCTTAACACTCATGCTGTATTCTAATTTTAGTGCTAAAATATCCTGTTGCAATTGTAAATGTATTACATTGTATTGTAATCCATACTTAAAAGAGGTAAAATAGAAAAACCTTAATTCTATCGTGCCTTAAAATTACTTTTTTAAACAGGAGCTGAAACATAATATAGAAACTATTCTCTTTTAAAATATCTTTTACAAATTCACTGGTTTCATAAACACAAAATAATTTTGTATACCTAATCTAATGAATCCATGACTTTTACCTGTATTTAAAGTACTTGTTACTGATGATTATAATGTTGATAAACCGGGCTTTGCTCTTAGTTAACTGGTCTATTGTTGACATAGCCCAAGACAGAGCAGGGGGGAGAGTGAGCTCAGTGGCTGTAGATAACACCGGTCAAAACTATATAGAACTAGGGGCTCAGTGGATCCATGGCGAGAACAACCCAGTGTTTCAACTAGCCAAGCAAGCAGACTTACTGTCCAGCGTTACCTCTGATGAAGGCCAAGGTAATCTATCTATCTATCTATATATATAATACGTGAAGCCGTATTTTGTTAACACAACTCCTCCCTTATTTGTGGACCAATTTCAACGTTTAAGGTGTCAAAAGATTCGTCTCAATATGTAGTTTTGCAATAAGGTTTTAGAACTTCGAAATTTCTACTCCTAAGGGCGTGAGACCCTCTCAAAGGTTGGGTTTTCCCCATAAGAAATACATAGAACAAATTAAAAAACAAAAAACAGCTGTTTATAAAAAGAAACTCATTAGCTTTTTGCGGGTAAATGTTAATGGTTGTAATATTACCAACTTAAACAGTTAATCAGTTTTGTTGGAAGAACGGAAAATGCCTGAAGTTCAAAGAAAAAATATTGTAAACGGGAGGAGAAGACAACTAATTATAATTAGGTCAGATCAAATGAGTGTACGCAATAAATTGTTACTTATGACACTGACAGATCGAGATACTTCGAAACATTTAGTATAAACAATATTAATGCGTTCAAGTAGTAAGATTATACCAAATCTTGGCGTATCTTACGTTTGTATTGTAAACTTTTGTATTACTCGTTCTACTTTAATTGAGGAAAAACACAAATGGATTGTTTACTACTTGGTTATGTTACCAGTTCCTCGGACAAACTTGTACAAAGTTTTTGACTGAATTCACCAACACAATCCAGACATTTCAAGTCAAAAATAAGAAGTTCCAAAAAGTAATTTGCTATTGAAAATTTTAGTGGAAATATTAGACATAAGTGAAGAAATTAGTGTTTATGTATTCAACGATCGAGTAGTTACAGTCAAGTTTATTTTTATGATTCAGGAGAGGCAAATAATATAGTCAAAAAGAGAAAATTAAAATTGCCATCCAAATCTTATAGCTACAAGAGTTATTCAACCTATTTCGACAAATGAATCCATTTTTTCGGACAGGTATTAAGAGAAACCCCACTGAACAACGTGAGAAAGTTCTGATGCGGTTCATATACTGTGACTGACAGACAACACGTTAAAATACGTTAGCAAACTATCAATGGTGTTGCTGATTTAGCATATTCAAAGCAGATTATAGGTTTCCAATTGATAACCCTGAGTTTGTGGGTAAAATATTGAGCATACATTAAATGGTTGATATCACTCCGTTTTCAGGATTCTCTACGGAGAAAATTCGTTTGATTAGGGGGATGTCTAGGCAACAGTTTTCTTCAATTCTCAATGCTGTAAAAACTTTGTTGCAACATGTTATCTCAAATTGAAGCAGATCGTTTAGCATTCATTAGAAATTATCAGTTAAAACTGAGAGCAGAAATAATGTAGGTGAACCTTGATGACGCAAATAGATATTTAAAATTAGTTTCTAATAAGTGTTTACAACTCTAAGTTGTAACTAGAATTACTAAAATTTAAACATAAAGTATTCCTCGGCGTTATGTTTTATATTATGCGGCTCATTGAGCCGCACGGGTTCTCTAGTATTTTATATTGTTCGTCTAAAGGCAAATTTTAAAAAGTCCCGAGAAAAAACGGAGCATGTGCCTGGGAAAAATCCATTGGTGTAGTCGTATATTTTTTTAGGGTGGAAACTCAACAACATCCTTTCAAAACTAGCTAACATCGGAGATGTGCACAATTTCACCGTGATTGCAGAAGACGTTCATACTTCCACCAAGACCGCAGGATGAGACATTCACAGGTTTACCACAACCTTAGGAGACGTTGACAATTTCCTCGTGACCGTGTGTGTCACTTACGATTTTGGCGCAACTGCCAAATATTTTGACAATTTCACCGCAATCATAAGATATATAACTTATTTGAATGATATTTGAAATTGTTCAAACTCATTCGCACATTGTTCAGATATGACTCGCAAAAAACCTGGGTGGCCGGTTAGTATTATATCATACTAATATTATAGGTCAATGTGAAAGTTTGTGTGTTTGTTTGTTTGGGGTTCAATCACGTATTAACTACTTAATGCATGATACATTAGGCAGAAATTTGGTATGATGATATCTCACATTCCCGATTAACATATAGGCCTATTCTTATCTCCAACATTCTTTCGAGTTCCGCCCCAGTGGCCCTGGAATTTCCCATGTTAACCTTATCGGTGTAAAAAATAAGATATATACCGCCTATGAGTATTCATATTTAAAAGAATTAACATCTGTTTGAACTAAACAAGTTTGTTCTATGGTGTTCAATAGCATTAACAAGTTACGAGGTTTACCAACAGGGTGCAGCCATGCGCGCCCACATTTGTACCCTCCTCTGTGAATTAATAGAAAATAAATTTCCTTTAATTTTACTTTTAATTTTCCTTTTAAATTTCCTTTAGGAAACAAATACCTGAAATGTTCTGTAATCATTAGTATTATAGAAATATATAAAAGCAAGTTTCATAATGGTAATTTCAAAAAAAGGGTAGGGTAAATCTGGACTTTTCTTTTAAGCCTTCCTAAACCATTCCTAGGATCCTAAAATAAACTAGGTACCTTTTAAAATAATTTTAACGCGCGGAAAGCACCATAAATTGCAAAAGTATACGGAACTACTTTTTCAAGGTGCGGTGCACACCAAGGAATAAGAAGTGATACAGATTTACTTTGGTACCGATGACTTGCTTTTGGGCTCCTAGAATGATATTGTTATATCAGCTGATCATTACTTTATTATGATTGTATATGTTAAGAGGGTCGAGTTATTAAACTGTTTATCAAGTTGAAATAAACTGTAAAATATTCAGAAAGAAAGATTCAAACAATGCACTGGCTGAACTGAAACATCTTAATTGTTTCATTAAGTATTTACAAAATAATTTTGAAAATACGTTAATTATTTTTGTTCACATTTGATTTAAACTTCTAAATATAGTTAAACATTTTTTTTTTGCACCACTCTCTGCAAGCTCTGATGTGTTAAAAGCACAACAAGCACACAATCATAGGAAACAAATTAGTTAGATGGTTGAGTGCTTGTGCAGTATAACATGTACGAAATAACTTATTAATGTTTAACATTGGCATAAAAAAACTATGACTTACCCTCCTTGATGCACAATATACAATTTTATTTGGTAGCGTCTCTGAGTTATTAAATAGCGTAAAAATATGTTTTAAAACACCATATTTTCAGACATTTTCCAGGGGAAGACCTGCAGCTCATACACGATCCTAAGATCCCTTGCTCCTTTAACAGTGGTAGATGGAAGAGAGGTTATAACCCTGACAACATCTTTGTGAGCAGCAGGATTGCCTCACAGTGTGAAAAATCTGTAGGTGATCCGATTCCCGAACTCACCACAGACCTATAGCATGCACCGTTAGTGCTGTTGTTAATCCTGAAGCTGTTCCTCTAAGAAGGAATCCTTTTCCTGTTAATTTCAAAAAGGCCAACTAGACGGTGTCGTGGCCTTGTGTGTGCACGTGTATTTTGTTGACTTTGATAATTGAAAAATGTAGCTTCATTTGTAAAGATTTATTTTACAATAGATAATTGATTGATACATATGTGTAATGTTGTTGATGACTTATTTAACACTCTAATTAATAATAACATATGATAGATATTTACTTATTGCCAACATAGAACGAATAATTATTAAACATGTGGTTGATATACTATAATTCTCCCACGCTTATCAGAGACGGATTTATTCATATTTCCCCCCTAGGCACTGTTCTAGGGTGCCGCCCCCCTTTATAGTATATTTCGTACCTAGGACCGTTTCGTTTTGCCGGCTTGTAACTTGTAAAGTTCAGGACCAAGTCAAGAGCTGCAAAACCCTTTCGGCCCGTGGTAGGAACGCCATTTTACACCACACTATACAAAGAATGAGGGTTTTAAGTTGTCATTTTTCACGCAATAAATGCACATTAACAGTTAACACAATTACAACTTTAAGGTTATGTGAAGAAATAATCTAGAGGAACCAGCAAAAATACTATAATAAATAGTTGCTAGGCAGCGATGATATAAAATGCGTATGGATATTGCTTATTTTTTAAAATATACATTGATGTTTTAAGTAAGTAAGCGAACAGCTGGTTCTGTGACCCTAGGGCCGTAAAAACCAAATCGGTCCCCAATGACAATGACAGCTGCCATTTCGGTCCTGGACAGCAATTACATAGCTTTCGGCCTCCAATTAACGTTTTGTAAAACGGCTAAAAACAACTTAGTGTGGTGAAAAAGTAATTATTTTTTTAAAATATAAACTAAGTCTAACCCATTTAGAGTGTTAATAAAAAAACACTGCAAGTTTTTTTATTATTTTAATTACAATTGAAAAGGTCTGCCATCCCACAAACTTTAAAATACTTAATATTGAATTACAGTACTTGAGTTGAATGTAAGAAATACCCGACTTTATAAAATTTATATCTTTTTACATAAATATCTTTGTAAAGTCTTCATTCTGTGTCCTTACAATGGTTCCTCCTACTTTTAACCATTGCAAACTCATCTATCTCATCATTGCCCTTTGACCGTCGTTTTCCGTCACCACCGTGCCGTCGCGGTCGCGCCTACAGTCGGTCTGTGGCAGCGGCGGCGCCCCTTAAGCGGCGTGGCGGCAGCTATAAGCAGCGGCACCCGTAAGCGGCGGGAAAACCGTTAGGGGCGGCACGTAAGCGGCGGCACACGTAAGCGGCGGCAAACGTAAGTGACACCACTCGTAAGCGGCGGAAAAACATTTGGGGCGGTACTCGTAAGCGGCGACAAACGTAAGTGGCGGCAAACGTAAGTTGCAGCACTCCTAAGCGTAAGTGGCAGCACTCGTAAGCGGCGGGAAAAACGTTAGGGACGGCACTTGTAAGCGGCGAGAAAAACGTTAGGGGCGGCACTTGTAAGCGGCGAGAAAAACGTTAGGGGCGGCACACGTAAGCGGCGGCACTGGTCAAGGTTCTGCTGCCCCTGACGGGTGCCGCCCCTAGGCACTGGCCTAGTGTGCCTAGTGGGAAATCCGTCCCTGACGCTTATTAGAAAAGATAATTTGTTTTG